AAGTGCTGTAACAGGTTTTGAGTCCAGGCTAGCCCTTTGCTTTTCAGTGGTGTACTCATGCTAACAAGTCATCTTCCCTCACTATTTAGTCTAATATTAGAAGAATTTTTGGAGTCTTTGTACTAACTCTTTTTTTTTTTGAGACAGGGTTTCTCTGTGTAGCTTTAGCTATCCTGGAACTCACTTTGTAGATCAGGCTAGGCCAAACTCAAGAGAGATCTATCTATGACATCCACTCTCCCGCCTCCCCAATTGCTGAGATTAAAGGTGAACGCCACACCACTGCCCGCCACAGCCCTCTTAAGAATTACCGCGGGAGGTGGATTGACACACCAATTTTGTACTAACCCTCGATGAGAGAGGCTTTATCAGACTGCAACAAAGGTTCAGTTCTCAAAGTCAGATAAATGCTAAAAACTCCCACAAAACCATCATTGGCACTTGACCAACTCTCCCAGTACCTGACACATTGGATTTTCCAGAGAAAGAGTTCTGTTTAGGGCAAACGTCAAAGCAATCTTCTTGTGCTCATTTTACCTTTGACTACAGTCTTCAGTATTTGTTTTCCTGTACTTACTAAAGTGTCAGAGTGGCCACACTCATGTTGTGTAACACTGTGTACCGTGGAAATGTACTTTCAATTCTCTTTGACCAACGTGGCTCAGCACTTGTTGCTTATTAAATACTTTGCAAGAAAATACAAGAACAAACACTAGCACTCCATAGCGCGATGGAACTTTAGTCACACTGGCTTCTACTCTTACTTTTTTTTTTTTTTTTGACAATCTTACAGCTTCTAACAGGAATTTAAAAATGCTGCAGCAACTGTGCAGACAGATGAAAGCACAGAACCGCATCAAGACCTGTGCATCGAGGCTGGAGAGAGGACGCAGTGGGTAGAGTACTGACTGCTCTGAGAACCCAGGTTCTGTTCTTAGCACCTGCAGGGTTCCTCACACCTGTCTGCTAACTCCAGTTCCAGGAGATCTGACACCTTTTTCTGATCTCTGCAGGCACTGCACACACACAGTGCAGACACATACATGTAGGCCAAACACGCATACATATAACATAAATCTCAAATTCTTCAAAAGTTGTACAAAGCACTGCTCAAATAACCATCATCAGATAAATATATCAATAAAGTGTGGTAACAACAAAATGATATTTAGTCATGAAAAGATTCTGATACACAAAACAGGGATGAGCCTTCTACGATTATGCAAACTGAACGGAGACATCACAAAAAGGGCACATAGCTGAGAAGGAATGTTCAGAGCAGGTAAATATAGAAACATAAAAAGTAGACAGAGATTCTCGAGGGCTGTGACGCTCGCGCGCGTGTGTGTGTGCATACGTGTGTGTAGCTAACATGCATCTTTCTACTGGGGATGGTGGTGATAGCTTGCATATAACTGATAAGGTTTTCTGGACAGTTGTATAGAAGTTAGTGAAACTGAATCTATCTTACTTGAGTGTAACTGGAACCTGGCTGTCATATTTTGCTACACACATTTCTAAAATGTGAATGTACTATCTATCCACATATACATATGTGTACACACACATGCAAAATCACCCTTGGAGTGTGTGCGCTCTGGTTGCCTCATCTTTTTAGTTTAGAAAATAGTTGAAACTTACTGTACAGCAGGCACTGTTATAGGAGCATGTGTGTAAAAATACCACACAAGTTCCTCCCTTATTATTCCGCTTCTTACAACTGTGGACATTGACCACGTATGGAGAGAGGGTATGAAAAAACGTAAATCTTTTGGACAAAGCAACAACCAAAATCAAACATATAATGAATCCAAAGATCTCAGCAGTACGTGTCTGTGCTGCATTGTGAACTTCACTGCAGCCCTGGTTCTCAACACGGATGTGCATTCTGCACTGCATATGCCATGATGCTATACCACATCAATGAATGCTGCCTCAACTGTCGTGTTTTTACTATCAAAGCTTTCTGCTCTTACACAAAGAAAAGGCTTAAGGAGGGGGCTGGAGTGATGGCTCAGCAGTTAAGAGCACTGGCTGCTCTTCCAGAGGACCCGGGTTTAATTCCCAGTATCCACATGACAGCTAACAACTGTCTGTAACTCCAGTTTCTGGGGATCTGATACCTTCATACCAATCCACATAAAATAAAGTTAAATAAGGACAAAAAATACTGTTAATATTTCTATTATTTTTCCTCTGCATGTAAGTATCAAGTTAGAAGTTCTAACATCTTTTGAAATGTTCCTAAACATATCTGTCATCTTGTATTATATATTAATCAAGGTAGCCCTTTCAGTATTGACCATTATCAATCAACTCTGAAAAACAATCAAGATACTTTATACTTAGTAGTATTAAACACTCAGCCAATATTTAATTATTTAAAAATACACAATTCATCAATTTCCATTAGCATGCAAGTTTGCTTTCATTTTTAATAAATGGTAAAATCATATGCACGCCAAAAATTGTTTTAAAATAAATGTCTTTGTGGTTTGTTACTAGTATATGTTTAATTTGTATATGTGTTGTATATGCCTATATATCCAGGGTCAAAAGATATTTCTTAGGCTAGGGGATAGAAAAATAATAGTTAATTATTATAATAATAATTAATAATGATATTGATCATGATGATGATGATGATGATGATGATGATGATAATGATAATGATAATAATAATAATAATAATAATAATAATAATAATAATAATAATAGTTAAGCCAGTGACAGCTCTTGTAGCGGCCCTGGGCTTGGTTCAGCACCAACATGGCTGCTTAAAGTATGGCTTCCATAGCCTCTGAGCACAAAGGCAGTACATAAGCTTACCCTTAAACATAAAAAAGAAATCTTTAAGATCAGATGACTATTTTGTGAATCTTTCTTAAAAGATCCAATTTGTAGACTTCTAAATATAACAGTACAGAGAAAAACAAACAACAACAATAAAAACTAAGTTTTTCTTGAGCTAAAAGGGGTTGTAAATGGACAACATTTATGAAGTCCTGCTCTAAGGGAGCTTACATCCAGTAGCTCAATAACAAAATCAAAACAAAAGCTATATGATGGGCTGCCTAGGAAGGGAGGCATCTGAGAAAACAGTGCCCGAGGTCGAGAAAAGGACAGAATTCAAGGGAAAAATACTTCCTGAATGTATGATCAGGAAGAAAGGGGATGAACCATGAGCTTCTGGCAACTAACCATTCTTTCCTGTTCCCCTCACCAGCTCCTCCCACAGAACCCCTCCTTGCTTGTCTTCTCAAGTCTTTTCTTTTGAGAAAAAGTCTCTTGCCTGGGCGGACTTCAACCTTAGCTCTGGGACTAAAGGTGCGCACCTCCATTCGCAGCTCTCCCAAGTCTTTACGGAAACCGTCTCTGACAACGCAGCTTCAAGTGACCTTTCCCTTCTCTTCTTGTGCTATTAGTCATTCTTCTAACCCTTTTTAGTGAGAGGCATCGTGATAACCGAAAGTCCAGGACTTAAAGACAAACCAGACACACACCCAACAGTCCCTAAGGTAGATAGCAATCTACAGAGCAAGAAAATCAATAGGTACACACAAAACCAAAATCAAGTCAAAGTGGGAGCTGCAAGAACAGCAAGATGAATTCTGGTCTTACTAACAGAGAAACAAACAGTGCAGGAAAGGTTCCTGTGGCAGGATACCAGAGAAGGGAGTGTCTAATTACGACTGTGGATCTAGACTTGTGGGTAAATAGAAAACATTTATTTTGCTTTAGTATTACTGATTCACTTTAAATAGACTTTTAATTATTTCAGCTCCCCAAGCAGGTATCAAGCCAAGGGAACCACAAGCTTGCTACTTACTCCTCCTGCCTTTGGGATATTCAACACAGCAGTTTCCAGAGCTGACTCAGTCAGCTGTTCATTTGTTACAATGATCAGTCTTAACTTTCAGAACTCAGGGGTGACTAAGAGATCCTTGAAATGCCCACCACAGCATGGTTCAGAACACAACCACAGAAAGCCATTTGTATATGTCCGCACCTTTAATTCAGAATCTTATAAATTGCACTAATTCTTTTGTTTTTGTTTTTAATTTTCCAGTCAGTCTTCCTGTGTAGCCAGCAATGCTCTCAAATTTCTTCCTGCCTCAGCTTCCTAAGTGCTGGAGTTGTGGGTACGGGTCACAACACTCTTTAAATTTTAAAATGTTTAAAAAATTACATCTATTTGTTGCGAAGGTGGGGAAGTATATTCCCCATGAATCCAGGTACCTGAGGCCAGAGGCAGCAGATCTCCCAGAGTTGAAGATATAGGCAATTGCCAGCAGCTTGACATGGGTACAGGAAACTGAACTCCTAAGCAAGACTGGCTCTTTTTTTTTTTTTTTTTTTTTAAAAAAGATAGGGTTTCTCTGTAGCTTTAGAATCTATCCTGGAACTAGCTCTTGTAGACCAGGCTGGCCTCGAACTCACAGAGATCCGCCTGCTTCTGCCTCCTGAGTGCTGGGATTAAAACCGCTGCATGGCATTGCTAACCATTCTTGAGCCATCTCTTCAGCCCTTCATTAACTTATTTTAAGTTTAGATCACTAAACTGAAGCTTGTGCTTCAGACTGTTTCTTTTTCCATTTTCATGGGTGTCTGTGTATAGTGTGCACATGTTCTTCCTACTTTGGTCACTGAGGCAGGTCTCTCAATCAAACCAGAGGTTCCCAAGTCAGCTGGCCAACTTGCACAGGGAATCCGTCTTTGACTTGAGAGGTTATAGTTACAGACAGGCCCATGCCCACCTGGCATTTTCCTGAGTTCTGGGATCCAGATTCCAGTCCTCATGCTTGTGCTGCAAACACTTTTAACCACTAAGCCATTTCCCTAACCACCCTCCATTTTTCCCCATTGAGTAAACCTTCCCACTCAGCCCCTCAAAATTCTTTCCCAATCCCAACAACATATTAGCCACTGAAGAAAAGCCAAACATTCTTTTGAGGCAATATGTCGCAGTATCTCCAAAAATATTACACGGCCAAACTCACCATAAAGAGCTGTCCAAGTTTGATTAATTACATCTAGACACACAGTTCCTGACCTGAAACAGATGGAAAAAAATGGCACTTTTAAAAACTGAGAAATCTAGTGGCAAGTTTCTGGCAGCTAATTTTATCAAAAACACTAGTAGCATCCTTTAAGATGTAGCAGGGAGTATGGAGAGGAGGGGCACAGGTGTTCACAGGCTCTTTTGTGCCTCCTTTACAACCAACAAGGAACAAGAGCAAGGATACGAGGTTGAGAATCAACCCGGGGAACAAGGGCAGATACACCCTGTATTCTGAGGGCAGAATTTCACTATACAGTCAAGTGTGTTCATATTCTGCGTCTTAGGAGTCCTAACATTACTGCACTACAGATTAACTAACTTTCTGAATCTGCTTTCCTGGGGCAACCTAAGAGAACATCCTATCATTAGGATGGTGAATACATAAGGTATTAAAGATTAAGAGACACATAACCTATATAAAAGGTTAACAAAAATTTCCTATGCAGTTGTTGAGACAGAAAAAACTGAAGCACTAGAAGGACAAGACAGACTACGATGGAATCTTTTAAAAAGTCATTAAGAAATAGATAATTGAGATTAACTAAAATGAAGCTCTCATCACTCATATTTGTCTCAGGGCTGCAAACAGTAAACCCATGCGTTGACAACAGGTTTTTGGGCTGGGTCTACACTTAAGGAATTGAGATGTGGATTATCTCAGCTGAATACCAAAGAAATGAAAGGCCCAGTCATGAAAACGGAAAAAATGTGACAGTTCAATCAATAATTGTACTGGAACCTCAATGGTTCATATCCCTAGAACGCTACAGTTTAAGTGACCATTTATACAGTGATACCTCCTCATAAAACCCAAAGGATAACTGAGGGTTCTTTTATAACAGTGAACAAGAGATGACCTCTAATTAATCAAGAACAGCTGCTGCTAAAATTTAAACATTTTTAAATAGTTACTTACGCTTCATCAATGTTGGGATGGAAAATTTTATTCATGAATCCTGCAAAAAGAGATGTTCATTAGCAGCACAAAGTATTCAGAGAACAGTGAATTTTAACTTGTCAGTACTGGAGACCATTCTAGAATGGAAAAAGATAGCGATACTCAGATTGTTACTTTTAGCTTAGGTCTCTGGCTACTTAGTAAGACCATATATCCACACCAACTAACTAAAACACCAAGAATCCTAAAACAAGCTTTCTGTATAAGATAACCTTAACAGCCACTGTCTCTGGATTATGGAGAAACGTGCCAGAAGGGAATGTGTAGTATTAGTGACGTATAACTAGCGCCACAATGGCACTCAGAAACGTCACAGCACCCAGCTGCTGGGCTTCACTGGAGGTTCTGCGCTGAAGCTTCAGAAGCATATTTACAGGCATCGTTCTGCCACACAGCAACACCAACAAAGCTGCTCAAGTCAGAACATTGCCTCCAACCACAGAATGTCACAGAGTCCAGAGGAGCTCTCTGAGTCTATCCACTCAGCCAATTCTGATTAAAATACAGCAAGGACTTAAAACATTCTCTAAGATAGCTGAATTTGTCAGAGCTTTTAAAATTTATTCCTAGAGGAAAGTATAAACTTAAAATTTCGCTGTTCCAAGTTCCAAGGAGGAATTTATTCATCTTACTTAAAATTAGTGATGTAATCATTACACAAATGCAGACAACGATATCCTAAGCAGAAACTCATGGTCCCCAACTACAACTGGGTTGCCCTATCCCACATTTCAACAAGTTCCCCTCGGATGACCCTCACCATCACTTTAGGAACTCTCGTCCCTTTCCAAATATGCTTGTCAGCACCTACTAGCAGGCATTTAGTCAGGGAACTCTAGCAGCAAGCCAAGAGACAAGAAGTGCGTGCTGGTGTGCGGCATGGACACAACCAGAGAGCACACGTGGAAAGAAGGTGTGGAAACAGACACACAAGCTCGGGAGACTTAGAACACCCTCTAATTACATAACAAGGATAACACAAAAGCACAGGCACTGCAGACTATGTTCTAGCCTTTCCAAGTAATAATCCCACTTTTTAATTCTTGTCTTTAGAACTTTTATGTTTCAACAGTCTAAAGCTTTAGCTATTATTACAGCAAGAAAGTCCTATAATGCTTAAATAATTTTGGTGCAAAAGGCTGCATCGATATTAATTTTTCATCAGGAAAATTAGGATGTTTAAGAGATAGCCCAAGCTAATAGGAGCGCTCATGTCTTAAAAGGAAAAAAATTTCCTTGCAACCCTAGGAAAATGCTAATAACATACATCCAGTTAAACTATGAGAATGCTGGATGTTAACACTGTAATGTCTGGCTCACACCTTTAATTCCAGCAACAGGGAGGTAGTGGCTGGAGGATCTCTGAGTTTGAGGCCAGCCTGTTCTATATAGTGAGGTTCTAGGTAGCTAGGATACACAGGCATCTTGGGGGGCGGGGGAAAGTGAGGAGTCAAGAACTAAATAAAAACCCAGCCCAGAGATGATGGTGCACACCTTTAATCCCAGCACTTGGGACACAGAGACAGAAGATCTCTGAGAGAAACTGCATTGGCCCATTTTATTGGTTAGAACATAGGTGGGTGGAGTAAACAGAACAGAATGCTGGGAGGAAGAGGAAGTGAGCTCAGACGCGACAGCTCTGCTCTCTGGAGCAGAGGCCATGCTCCCCTCTCCCGGGCAGATGCGATCGATACAGTTCCGACCCAGGATGGACGTAGGCTAGAATCTTCCCAGTAAGCACACCTTGGGGTGCTACAAACAATTATTAGAAATGGGCTAGTCCAGGTGCGAGAGTTAGCCGAGAAGAGGCTGGATATAATGGGCCAAGCAGTGTTTAAAAGAACACAGTGTCTGTGTGATTATTTTGGGGCATAAGCTAGCAGGCAGCCAGGGTGCTGGGCACAACAAAAACCCACCCTATGGATGGGGCTAAAGAAGTGCAGAATACTAAAAGACCTGGAATCCTACACAGTTCAGCATAATGAACTACATCAATGTGTCTGTCAGTTTGGACAGATCTAAATATTTCCTTCTAAATATTCGTTTATACCCACAGTTAGTGATGGTCTCAGCTTTCTCAGGGGAACTTCCTTCAGTGGACAGTAGTTAATTCAAATGCTGAGTGACCGCTTGAACACTTAGGCCTAAATGGGACATATCAAACGCCTAGGTTCAGAAACATGGAAGAGGAGGCAGAGATGGCAAAGAGTGCTGTGGTAATGTTCTGTCTTCTAGACACAAACTCACAGCCACCCACAAAAGATCTGGGCAGTAAGCACAGCCAACATTTCAGCAGGCAGAACTAGATCTGTGGGTATGCTTTGGGGGCGGGGGAAGGTCATGAAGGCAGGAGGGCATACTGGGAATTTCTGGAGAAGAATGGAAGGAAGGAGTGTGTAGGGTGGCTATGATCAAGATACAGGTGTGTGTGTGTATATAAATTTGCCAAAGGATAAATTAAAAACACTCTTTAAACAAGGCAAAAACCACATAAAAGACCGATGTATTGATATTATAGTTCTATTTAGATGATAACAAAGCAATCCTTATGTTCTGTGCTTTAGGGAAAACTTCTAATGAACCACATAGATCAAAGTTGCAAAGGTATTTTAACTAGGCTACAAAGCCAACCAAACAGACTGGGGAGAGGATTAGCCCTGATTACCTGATCTGCTCGGGTTGTGCTACACGTGGTCATGAGAAGACAGAAGCAGGGTTTCAAGCCTGAGACCAGCCTAGGTGATACAGGCGGTGGTGGAGCACGCCTTTAATTCCAGCACTCGGGAGGCAGAGTTTGAGGCCAGCCTGGTCTCCAGAGCTAGTTCCAGGACAGGCTCCAAAGCCACAGAGAAACCCTGTCTCGAAAAATCAAAATAAATAAATAAATAAATAAATTAAAAAAAAAAAAAAGAATGATTCTCTTATATGAACTACAGCAGTTGGTAACTGCTCTTGGTACTTAACACCCTGCTTCTGCTAGAACCTGTAGTGAACACCAGGGAAGCAAAGGCTCTCAGAACTGACTATAGATAGGGCTTGTCTGGAGAGTTCTGTACAACAAGCACGTCATGTGTTGGATTAGAAGGTGGCTAGTGTTATGAAAGTAAAAAAAAAAAAAAAAAGGAAGACCAGGGGCAGAGGTTGCAATTTGGTGAAAAGTGCATCAGAAGCTTGTTTCATTTATACTTTAGAAGATCAGCCAAGATACTAGCTGAAGTGAAGGGATGAGGAACAAAAGACAAGGTGGGGGACAGAGAGAACGTTAACCATCAAGAAGGGACAAGCTACTGACAACAGCATCTCAACATAGTCTTGTTTTAAACAAATGGCTGTCAAAAAGCAAACAAAAAAGGCTCAATCGGCTCCGAGCACCGTCAATATTTGTTAGATGAAACAATTGCATATATCCACAAAATGGAATGAATGGGAATTGGGAATCCCTACATGGGAATTAAGCCTCAGCGATCTGATGCTATAGGGCACCTTAAAGGACTGAGAATGACGTTGGTGAAGAGCTCTGACTTCATCAAAGTTATCCATGAAAAATTAAAGTATCCCCCTTTTTGGCTCTAGCCTAAAGAGTAAGTGCAATTAGAGTCCATACAGTTTCTACACTATTTTCAGCTAAATTTCAATTTGGCCTTGTTTAAATATAGGAGCATATAAAAGAAGTGCCAAAAACTTCATAAGTATATTTTTAGTAACAAAAGATTTGGAGCCCAGAGCTGCTAAGAATTAACACCATCAGGGGCTAGAGAGATGATGGCTCAGCAGTTGAGAACAGTGGGCTACTCTTCCAGAGGACCTGGGTTCAGTTCCCAGCACCAACATGGCAGCTTATAGCTGTCTGACTCCAGTTCCAGGAGATTTGAGTCCCTCAGACATACCCACATACAAAACACAATGTACATTAAAATAAAAAATAAATTTATTAAAAAATAAAAGAATTAACGCCATCGCCGAACAGTGGCGGCACACATCTTTATTAATCCCGGCACTTGGGAGGCAGAAGCAGGCGGATCCCTGAGTGTGAGGCCAGCCAGGACTATTTCACAGAGAAACAGTGTCTCGGAACAAAAAAAGAATACCACCATCAAAGTTTTGAGAAAGGCAAAGTACTAACCTGGCAAAGGGTTCTGGCCCTCACTTTGCTACCAAACTGCAGGCTCTGGTCCAGTCAGTCACCTCATTTCCAAACATGGGTCTGTTTTGTCATCTTTGAAGATGAACAGCTGGACTGTTTCACTTCTAAAACCCCCATTCTTACTCCATTTCTAGAGGTGCTATGAGCGCCAAAAATCTAGGATCTAGTTAACAGTGCCAAGAGCTCCAAGAACGGAGGCCTTTAAAGGAAATGGCCAGCAAAGTCATTAAAGGACAGTGGCTTTGTAGGGCAGCACCACTACGTGGAATATTCTAGAACACATCCAGAACTACTGTGCTACACTACCACAGAGAGCCAAAGAAACCCACTTGACTATTCCAGAGTGAGCAATATCAACTGACAACTTCACCTTCAAGGACCAGGTACTAACAGACCAACACTACCTGAGAAACCCTCTCGGACCACAAAGAGATCTTCCAATTGCAGGCTTTCATCTTAAAAAAAAAAATATTTCTTTCAAAAATTATTTGAGAATTTCATACATGTATACAATGTACTTTGATCATATTCATCATACCCCTACTTCCAACTCCATCTGGATCCTTCCCCTAACAGACTATCTGATACTGGAAGGATATACCAGGGGTTGAAGGGTGGGGAGAATATGAACATCAATGTGTGTGTTTCAGACATGGTCTATGTAGCCTTGGCTGGCCTGGAACTTGCGATGAACCTCCTTTGAAAGTACATAGATTATAGGCATATGCTCAGCTCAAACTGTTAAAAAACAAAATAAAACCCAGAGCCAATCAATAAAAAGGAACATTTACTTTACATTTACTCTTGGACAAGCTGTGTGCAGAGTTTCTGACAAAGCCATTTATTAGTCTGGA